AGAAAGAAAGAAAGAAAGAAAGAAAGAAAGAAAGAAAGAAAGAAAGAAAGAAAGAAAGAAAGAAAGAAAAACATTTGATGTAATCTGAATTTCTGGACACATATAATAAAAATAGAAATAAGTATATTAAATCAGAAGCTCCGTCTCTTAAAAGTTTTTATTAGGCTATTTATATCTGATGAGGTGTGAGAAAGATATCTCATTAAATTGTCCCTATTAACTTAGTTTTTTTAGTTCCTGCCCTGCCCTACTTTCAGTTTGGAGAAACAGAAATTGCATGAAACTGAAAATGGGGGAAAAAAATGAAATCCCGACATTCGGTAATATGGAGTCTAGAATATTTAGAAAAATTGAATTCCTTTTACGTGAACCTGTTCTTTTTTTTTTGTCTTAATGATGCGCAGGAACGAGTTCCAGACAGTCCCTCCCCTGCTCCATCTCTCGAAGACGGTCGAAGGCCTGGTAGCCATCCATCCTCACATCGTAGCAGCAGCGTATCCAGCTCCCCTGCCCGAACTGAAAGCTCTTCAGATAGAATCCGTAGGTTGCTGAGTATTTCCTTTTGCCACCCCTGTTTCAAATCCCTGCAATAATAAATGTGCCCTTTGCTATCACTAACATCTCCATCACGATCACCATCATCTTCATTTAATGACCCCATAATCCTTTGTGAGGTGGAATCTGGACAACTGAATGGAGCTAACAGAGTGTTTTAGTGGCCAGATGCCTTTCCTGTCACCAATGCAGAGTTTTGTTCAGCGGATATATTCTCAGTGTGCCCAGAGAGAGAAATATCTGCCTCTGCCTAGGATCAAACTCAGAGCCTCCTGACTGTGAGGCAAGAGTTCCACCTCTAGGCCACCCCACCACTCCTATCACTAACATCTCCATCCTCCCCATAAAACAGTTCAAGTAGAGTTCCCTTTTGTTGGACTCCAAATACAGAAAACAGGCAGAGAACACGAATCAGCATCCTCTCTGTTTTCCCCCACCCCTCCAAGGAGAGAATGGAGAGACAGTGTAGTGGCCGGTCTCCTGACCTCCTAAAGGTCACCCCGTTCCACACACAAAGGATGACAGTTCCACCCATGTTGGTGTAAGCATTTGTCCAGTGATTTGCAACCCAAAAACAAAACCTGAGGGAACTCTGAGGTAGGAAACTATATCAGAAGAAGTTAATTGCAAAAAAAAAAAAAATGTGAACACAATTAGTGAAATCCTGCCCTGAAATCCAAACTTCCTCATTGCAAATTTCCTTCCTGCATTTAAAGCCCCAGGTGAACTGGGAAGATTACCTGATAATGGGGTGGGAATTATGGCATCAGGCATCTTTCCCCATAACTATGTTAACAGCTGCATAATGCCTTGATGTCTACATGGAAGAAGAAGACATGTAAGCAGGGGTGGGATGCTGGGGGTTAACGGGTTCAGGAGAGCTCCTAGCTAAGATTCTATGCAGTTTGGAGAACCCTTAAATCCAACTTCTGGCTGGCCCACCCACCCCACCCCACCTCTCCTAGGAGTCCCCCGACAGCCCATTTTGGATGCAGGTAAGTGCAGGCCACGCACAGAGGCTCACGTAGGGTAACAAAAATGGGCCTCCCGGAAGTTCGGGAGGGCCAGAATGGGACAGTTTCCATCTTCCAGAGAGCCTCCAGAGTCCCGGGAGGCTGTTTTCGCTCTCCCAGAGGCTCGAGAAAAGCCTTTGGAGCTTGGGGAGGACAAAAATGCCCCTCCCCCATGGTGCAGGAGGCCGACTAGGCCACGCCCACCATAGCCATGCCCACCCAGCAACCAGGCAGAGAATCCCTTGCTAAAAAATTTTGAAGCCCACCACTGCATGTAAGTTCTCAACTAGACCTACAGAAAAGGCATCTTCAAGGAGAAGCTTCTAAAGTTCTTGGGGTGGCCAGCAGGCTGCCAGACAGAAAAACTGAGGAGTAACCTCTACTTTGAACCAAGGAAGTCAGTTCGACCCAGAACAGCAACAGTTCAAAACAAAACACTCATTTTGCTTGTTGTTTCAATTAAATCAGAACAGTTGACTCATCTCCTTGAAACAGAGACCATCATGAGACCAATCAGGGTCAAAAGTCGGTTGTAAAGCAAAACAAAACAGTGATGGAGAAAAAGGATTTCTGCCTTTCCCAGCAAAAAAAAAAACAAAACTATTTCTCTGTATTTGCAGTCTCAAATGTCATTTTCAGGCTCCAGGGGTAGTGATGATAACAGAGAATATACGGTATATTTATAAAAAGAGCTTTGTTTAAAAAAAGAATAGAAACATTCCCAGGCTGAGACCACAGACTTGTTTTAGCTGTGATTTATCAGCCATGTTTGATCCAGCTTCTCAATTCCTTTTCATTTTTATAGGCCTAGAAAAAGAGAGGGGAGACAACGCTTCCTTTTAATATAAATTATTATTAATTTAATTTACATTTGGAGTACTTCTCAGACAAATCTGAGTTTCTTTGTTGCTTTAAAAAAAAAAACACCTAGCATTGTTGCTGATGTATTTGGCTAGCAGATATAAACAAAGATCCTTTTAAATCTTTATATGTGCTGCATGACTTCAGAAATCGTTGCTTAACATAGGGGAAATCTTTTGTTTTCCTTCTGTAAAAGGATATTAGCACTGGGTGACTTTGTGGCTGCCCATTTATATAAGCTTTTGCCTCGTCCCATTTTTTTTTAAATAGCATAACATTCTCAAGTTTGTTCTTTGCTCTATTTTTCAGTTCTTTGAAAAGTAAAATGAATACCCTCTGACATGCACTTTAATAGGTTCCATGAGCTTGAGCATTAGTGTTATTATTTAAAGAAAGCAACGCGTTGTATAGACTTTTGAATTTGAGGAAGTGGTGCTTATGGTAAGTAGAGCATTAAAAGGAAAGTTCAGGTTATGCATAAATGCATCACTTGCTTTCGTATCACTCAGTTACTGTTTAAGACAATTGGTTTGATCCTCAGTGACATGCTTACATACGCGAGGCACTAAACAATAGGCATTGTCATCAAGTGATAATAGTTATGTAAAGAAGGGAGCAAGGGAGCAGCTGCAAAAAATTGCACGTCTGTCCCATTTCTTATGGAACATGGTTTAATTTGTTTCACGTTTTCTTACGGAGAGAGATACCTTTTTCCTAGAGTCTATAGTGCTTTAGCACAAAATTGCCTTTAGTGCTTCTGAAAATCTGCAGAGGGTATGGAAGAAGGGACTGGAGGCTAAAACATTTGCAGAACGGTGGCAGGAATTGGGTTGGTCTGGTTTAATGAAAAGAAGGGCTAACAGGTGACATGATAGCAGTGTTCCAATGTTCCAGTGTTTTCTGTGGTTGAATTTGAGAAAAAAAATCAATTGAAAACTCAAGAGAAAACCACTGGATAATTTATTGTAGCTTCTTGTTAAAAAAAATAGGAGAGAGAGAATGAGAGAGAGAGATATCCGGGGAGTAGTGGGAAGCCCTTTGGAAAAAAGAAGAAGATACAACCCCACGTATATTTATCACTTAATTCAGGGGTCTTCAAACTTGACAGTTTTAAGACTTGTGGACTTCAACTCCCAGAATTCCTCCTCCAGTCATATTAGCTCAAGAATTCTAAGAGTTGAAGTCCACAAGTATTAAACTTGCCAAGTTTGAAAATCCTTGCCTTATTTAAAATTAATGTGCACTTACATCTCCTTAGAGAACTGGAGGCTAAAACATATGAAGAACAACTCTAGGATCTGGGTATGTCTAGTTTAATCAAAAGAAGGACATGATTGGTGATATGATAGCAGTGTTCCAATATCTCAGGGGCTGCCACAAAGAGGAGGGAGTCAATCTATTCTCCAAAGCACCTGAGGGCAGGACAAGAAGCAATGGGTGGAAACTAATCAAAGAGAGAAGCAACTTAGAACGAAGGAGAACTTTCCTAACAGTACAATTAAACAATGGAAGAACTTGCCTCCAGAAGTTGTGAATGCTCCAACAATGGAAGTTTTTAAGAAGAGATTGGACAACCATTTATCTGAAATGATATAGGGTTTCCTGCCTGGGCTGTGGGTTGGACTAGAAACCTCCAAAGTTCCTTCCAACTCTGTTTTCTGTTAAGAAAACAGTTGCTACCACCCAGAAGAATAAGCGTCAGTCCTACATTTCTGATCGATGATACACCTTGAGCAATTTTTTATTTGTTCTAACATATTTTTGTAGACTGCCCTCAGGTGTGTGCATCCAAATATTATGAACAACCAAAAAAATGTGTAGTAACAATAATTTATTAAACCTGTATGCTACTTAACTTTCAGTGACTCTGGGTGGCTCACAACAAACCAAGAAATTACAATCAAATCAATAAAATGTTAAAGAAAAAAGATGGCAAATACCACAAATGGAGTTTGATAGTTTTTGTAGTCCCCCTCCCCCAAAAATGACCTGTTGAAATGAAGTGTCTTCATCATGGTCTCTGATTCACAAATGAGAGTTGTATGTCTGGTTAATAGGCTCCGAGGATACAGAACATGTCCAGGACAAAGCTTGACTGCTACTTAGGAAGCAAACCTAAAATAAACCTTAAAACATTAACTAACTTGTGCTGTTGCCTTTTTATACATAGAGGAGTACTTCCTGCTTCCTTAACTATGTATATAAATCAAGTTGCAGCCTTTACAGTGAGATAGAAAAGATCATGGAGTGAGATGATACAAAGGTGGGGTATATACAATGTGGAAAGTGGGAATTTCCACGGCTATTTCTGTATCTTACAGGGTCAGTTAATTCATATCTTGGAAAACAGAAAGCAATTTGCAAATCCTGTCATTTCTTTTTAAAGGAAGGGGCAAAGTGTTTGGTCAGTTTTGCTCTAAGTGAATAAACTCATTCTGTACAAAATTATACGTCTGTACACTAACAGTTGAATATCTAATTTATACTCCTTTTCCAACAGGGAGAAAATGACCATGTTTGTCTAGTGTAAATCACAACATCCAATTTACGAAAGGTCGAGCACCTTTATAAAAATAAAAGCAGTCCCTAAACAAAAAATAACAAAGACCAATCACATTGATTCAATTATATTATGAAGCAAATGTATGGATGTCTATTGAGGAATCAGTCCTGTGGTATTTAAAAGCCCCTTGCAGCTTTGTAAAGGGTTGCTTCTGAATTGAGCTACAGCTGTGCTGAAAGCAGAGCCCTTGAATTTTAAGAGCCAACTCTCAGGCAAAGATTGAGTAGATTGTTTTCTTGGCTTAGGGCAAAAAAGATGATATGCCTTCTAAGCTATGAATTAAAGCACAAGAAGGGTAGGTGGAGCATGAAAAAAGAAGAATGGTAAATATGAAAGGGGGGGAAAGGAAAGAGGAACGGAAAGCAATAAAGGGAAGGGAAGGAAGATAGAAGAAGGAAAGAAAAGGAAAACCAGAGAAGAAAAAGAGATAAATATCCTTCTGTTACTGCCTTTTAGGGTCTACCCTTCCTTTGCTACAGCTGAAACCCTAATCAATCAACCACAAGTCTTCTTGGTTTCCCAACTAAGTACCCTACTGATCTGTCCTCTTTCCTCCCTCTGACCCTGTAGGACACAGTGAAAAAGTGTCAAATATTTGAATTTCTACTATTTAAAATTGATGGACAAAGGATGCTTACATTGTACTAATGCACAGTCATAGAAATTAAGAAAAGAAATAGAAAGATCTTGGTTTATTAAGGCATGAAACTGAGGAATAAAACTTCTTATCTATTGGGAAAATTCAAGGATCAGAAATTATGACCTGGGTAGGCTTGGTCATTGGGTGGTTTGGTGAGAACTTCAGACTCTTCCATAAATAGACACAAGGGACAATGAAAGTCAATATTTCCCAGCTGACGTTGAATGTCTCAACTGTAATATTTTGTTCTTTGTTCTTCCCCTGCGTTTGCTAACAGCTGTTCATCAGAATGGCCTCTCCATGAACCAGATGTTGTTGGGCTTATCTCCGAATGTCTTACCTGGTCCAAAAGAAGGTGACCTGGCTGGCCACGAGGGTGGGCATGACTCCAAAAGAATGCACCTGGAGAAAGGTAGCGTGTGGATTGAAGTTGTTGTTTCATTACACTCCGATTGGAAGCGATGCTTTTCCTCCATTCATGTTTTATCATTTGAGCGGTTCACAACCAAACGACATTAGCGCAAAGAGAGAGCAAGAACTCACTTCCTGTCTCTATCAAAAGATAACATGACTTCTCTTGCACGCTGGTGTAGTACATTAATTATGGCAACAATGGAGAAAATAAGTGGCAGGAATTATTCGATAGTGCTGTTATGAATAGAAGAAAATGATTAAAATCTCACAATGAAACTCATATAGGAGAATGGCAGCCCTTATCTTTTCCACTTCTCAGATGCTTATTCTTTAGGAAATATAGTATTCAGACATTATTTTTTCCGTAATTGGGGTGGATCTGAGGTTGATCAAAGAAACAAGTCACTTAAATTCAGCTGGTGTGAGCTAACCGTGGATGGCCACGTGTTGGGAAGGAAGAGAAGCTTAAATTGCTTTGCTCCCGCAACTGCTAATAGTGTAAAATGAGACTGGTGGATTTCATCTAATTTATTTTAAATTTAATCAGCCATCCGACAGAAAATATGTGAGCAAGATTAATGTATATTAGGACTTCTGTTGATTATTATGCTACCTTATTTGGATTGTACAGCCCTGAGATGCTTTTTTTTTCTCTGATGAAAATATTAACCAACATCTTTCTACATAGAAAACATTACAGCTGTACAGATTGAGAGGCTAATTTTGTGGGTTTGATATACAGATCTCTTTAAACAACCTCTGTGTACTAAAAGCAAAATCAAATAATAGGCGTCCAGCTGAAATGCAACAGCTTGCTAGCGGTGTAAAGGAAAAACTCCGATAACTAAGTGTTTCAGTGTAGAATTTCTCTAGCAATAAAGAACAGAAATGAGGGTGTTTTGTGGTCCAAATTAATCAATACAAAAAGAAATTAAATAATAATAATAATCCAGATCTGTCTTGTGCAACTACTGTGAGATATGGAAAGAGAATTAAAATCTGGACACTTTCATTCTGGACAGGTGGCATTTTTAATAAGATTACACTAAAAATTAATGAGAACAACATTTCTTTTATACAAATCATTAATTTTGGTTCATTGCACACACAGCCTGCCGTGGCTCCTTGCTTGCTTCCCGGCTACACACAAGCACTTAAATCCTACAAAAATGTTATCCAGTCATTGAGCAAGTGATATAAAAGTGAGTTGTTTTCATTTTCAGGAGGACGGTTTGGCTTCGGCCCATCTACATTTAAATACAAATACAGGGTCAAGTTAGAATAGACTTCCAGTGAAACAGGATTTCCAACGAAAGTGTTTGCTTGGTAACCATTTTAAAAAGTGTTTCAATTAAATCATGTATTAACATAATTAGCCAGGGAAGGAGAGGGGAGGGGGGAGGGGAGGGGAGGGAAGGGAAGAGGAAAGGAAGGAAGGAAGGAAGGAAGGAAGGAAGGAAGGAAGGAAGGAAGACAGGAAGACAGGAAGGAAGGAAGACAAGCAGATAGGAAGGCAGACTGGTAGGAAAGGAAAGGAGAAAGGAAAGGAAAGGAAAGGAAAGGAAAGGAAAGGAAAGGAAAGGAAAGGAAAGGAAAGGAAAGGAAAGGAAAGGAAAGAGGAGACGTGTGAGGAAGGAAGGAAGGAAGGAAGGAAGGAAGCATGGGTAAGAAAGGAAAGGAAAGGAAGAATGGAAATTATTCCCATTCAATCTGCTGTGTTTTTTTCCGCCCCCTTAAATGGTTCTTGTTTAGGTCACAAATTTCTTCTGCTCTCAATTTCTACCTCCACCATCCATAACCTTACCTTCTGAAGTGGTGTTAATATTCAAGGTTGACCTAGATTTATAGGATATTCTAAATTAAAAATGGGTTGGTTTGTTTTTGTTTTTATCATGACTGCATTTATCACAGGTTCTGAGCCAGCCCTGTAACTTTGGGGCCAAACTTACCTGTTTCACTTGGAGATATTTTGCAAAGATAGTTACAATCTGCTTAAAGGCCTGTAGCTCATATATGCAATTTTGTTTCAGACCGTCTTTAATCTTTCAAAGTCATTAATCATTATTATGGGTGGGTAAATTAATGCAAACTAAATACAGTTGATGTAGGCATTTGTATCCTCACAATAGAAAATGCTTTGACTGCATCGTCTATTAAAACAACAGAGATACAGAGATACATCTTTGAACATTATTCATTAACCATTTATATATTGCTCTGTTTCCTACACACACAGACACACACACACACACACACACTCACTACTTCGGGGCTAATCCATCAATTGGAAGTCAAATGACTCTTACTAATTACAACTGGGAGGTCCTAGGAAAACACCATCATACCAACACCATAGTTGGCCCAAGCTGGTGGAAGATATTACTGATGTTGTAGCCAATTATGTATACAGTCTTATTTCTTATAAACAAAGATGGACCTTTTCCAGGGCATGCATTAATCTTTTCCCCTCTATCCTTCTGAACAGCAGATATAAGATATAAAAATATGTCTATATGGCAAGATGGCAACAAAAGTCATAGGTCACATTCTTTTAAGCTGGCCCTTCTATGAGCAGGCCAGACCCTGAAGGATATTCAAAGTTCTTCGTTTTCTTACTTATACTCATGTGCAATCAATCAAAATAGCAAATACAGTAGACAAGTTTTATAAATAGTATGTTTCATATGTTTAGTTAACTTGATAAACTTCAGCACTACTACTCTGCTAGAAGAGAATGGGATTTGCTCTTTGTTCATATACAGTAGCTTGCCGCATCAGAGTTTGGTGGAGTACTTGTTTTCTGCTTAGTAGTAGCTTGATAAGATTGTTGTCTATTGCTTGTTTGTTTATCTGGTGTTAATCCCTGCTTAACTGAGTATTGATTGCTGACAAGGTGTTCTGGTCTTTTTGTTTCCGTTTTAGCCTTTGTTTGTCTCTCTTGAATTGCGTGTAAATGTTGTTTATCTCTATTTGCCTGTTGATGGTTAATTTGTCTGAATACCAAGCTTCCCTACCATTTTAGATTTCTATCCCAGTTAAAATTATGATTAAGACTGTCTCTGTGTTGTAAAATTGAAGAGTTTTCACCACTCCTTCTGACAGTTGGTTTATGTTCATGGATGCATTCTGCTAGTCTTTAATCTGTTTGTCCTACAAAGTGGCTGTTACATCCATTACACTGTATATTGTAGATCATTCCTATTGTTTCTTCTAGCTGAATGTCTGGAAGTGTCGTGGTTTTTTGAGAGGCTACATTAGAGTGCCTGCTACGATTCCTGAGAGTAGAGATCCCATGGGTATTCCTCTGATATGTTGGTATATTTGTCCATTAAACTGAAAATAGGTAGGGAAGTAGAAGTTGATGAAGTGATTCTGAGTATTTCAATCTTAGTGTATTTGGGTAGGTCAGGTGGTTATGCAGTACTGCTATCATGGACTTTTTCTTTAGCTCCAGTCTGTGCATGCAAGGAGTGCTGTGACATCAAATGAAATCATAATTTAATCTTCTTTTAATATTAGGTCTTTGATTTTCTTAAGTCATCGAACAGGGGAGAGAATAGAATATTTGATTCCTTCTGTGAGATGTCCAAGATGAAGAGGTATGCTGGGCTAGTGTAACAATAGAAGCATGGAAAGAACAAATGGAGAGAAACTCAACTCTTTTCTAACACTGCAAATGTTTCTTAGCGAAGTAACAAAATGTCTGCAACCAAACACCAAGCTCAGAGAGCACCAAGGACGCCACAGTTCAACCCGGAGCTACAGAGATTCTCCAATGTTAATAAAGTTTATTCTCTTCCATTCCACCCAAAGTTCCAGAAGATTATTAATTTACAATCTGTGATACACCTAAGAAGTTAAAAGCAATAAGCAATATTGCAACAGCCTATAAAGCTGTTGACCAGCAAGGCATTTGCTGAATTCTGTCAAATGGTTTTGCTGATGGAAACAACTTTCACTTGTTAGTATCCAGCAGCACAAAAGTCAGACATGCTGTAAATTCCATTTACAGGAGGTTAGATTTTGGTTAATGGAAGAAATCTTTTGGAACACGTTTTACTATACAGAAATTTCAGAAGGGGAAGAGAAATAGAAGGAGGAGAGATAAATGATGGAATGGAAAAATGATTGGATAAATACAGTCAACAGCTTCCCAGTCTTTAAAAATGGGAGATAATAAACTGAGGGTGAGAATTGGAAAGTTCTTGGGTAATTAGACAGTGGTTTATCATAGCATTCATGTTACATTTGCTCTTATGAGAGGACAATTGAGATGCACCTTGGAAAAGTTTGTGTTCCTACAAGATTCATGACCATGGCAGATCGTGGCTGCTTAGATTATAAAGTGCTTTCATTTTAAAAGAATTGACTCCCTCCTGGAAACTGGAAATTAAATAAATGTAAGGGTGTATTACAAATCAGGCCCCATAAAAAACATCAGAGTCATGGTGGCGCAGTGGTTAGAATGCAGTACTGCAAGCTACTTCTGCTGACTGCTGGCTGCCTGCAATTTGGCAGTTCTAATCTCACCAGGCTCAAAGTTGACTCAGCCTTCCATCTTCTGAGTTCGGTAAAATGAGGACCCAAATTGCTGGGGGCAATATACTGACTCTGCAAACCACTTAAAGAGGGTTGTAAAGAACTTTGAAGTAATATATAAGTACTATTGCTATCAGGCTCCATGGACAATTACATAAATTACAGTAAATGTTTGAAGTGGTTACTATTCTGAATACTTCCTTAATCATTTTATATGTAACTTTTGAATATTACTATGTACAGTAAGATATTTTTTTTAAATTAATAACAATTATAGTACTTGTCTCTATGGAATTAGATAAAATTCAAAGCAAGATTGAATTTTAGCAGTTTGGATGGTTCTTGATTTGTTCTATTTCTGAACAGAGGAGACTCAACTCCGGTTAATCCTTGGAAAGATATCTCAAAGGGGCTTTTTCAAAAGGCAGCTGGACTATGTTTTTTTTTTCTTTCAAGGAA